ATGATATTAAACACCTTTCTGTATTTACAGTACAACAGCTTGGAGCAACTCTGCATCAATTTCACCAATGAGAAACTGCAACAGTTCTTCAACCACACCATGTTTGTCCTGGAGCAAGAGGAGTACAAGAAAGAAGGCATTGATTGGGAGTTCATTGACTTTGGTATGGACTTGGCTGCTTGCATTGAGCTTATTGAGAAGGTATGTAAAGAAGGAAATTCTTAATTTGTGCTAAAATGGTTGCTTGTGCTGATTAACTTTTAACATGAAATGTTAATTCTTCTCAGCCAATGGGCATCTTCTCCATCCTTGAAGAGGAGTGCATGTTCCCCAAGGCCTCTGACACTTCTTTCAAGAACAAGCTGCATGATCAGCATCTTGGCAAGACCAAGGCCTTTGAGAAGCCAAAGCCTGGAAAGGGCAAGGCTGAGGCTCACTTCTCCCTGGTTCACTATGCTGGTACAGTGGACTACAACATCGCTGGCTGGCTGGACAAGAACAAGGACCCACTGAACGACTCAGTTGTTCAGCTCTACCAGAAGTCTGGAAACAAACTGCTTTGCTTCCTGTATGCATCTCATGCTGCAGCTGAGGGTAAGATATCAGAATGAACAGAGACATAAGAATGCTGTACAACATTTTAGTAAAACTATCATATGGATACTGAAGACAAATGTCTACACTGTGGGCAATACCAGATGCTTGTATTAGAGATTTTCTATAAATAACTACAATGTTATTTTTTATTATTGTTACAATATATAGACCAAATTAGTTGAAGAAATTGTGTAAGCTATAGATCAGTAAGTGTAGTTTTTCATGTCAAATAAGTTTGCAGTTACAGGTATGAATCTGCATCTGTTACACATGGTTCAGGCCTGGTAATAGGTTGATTACTGCTCTGTGGTGATAACACATTCACATTCAATATTTTGGACAACAGAGGCTGGTGGTGGAGGCAAGAAGGGTGGTGGCAAGAAGAAGGGTGGTTCCTTCCAGACTGTGTCCGCCCTTTTCAGAGTACGTATAGTGTCATATTTTTGGAGAAACATTGAAAACCTCATATTGAAGTCATATTTACCTGATATGTCATGATGCTGATCCACAGGAGAACTTGGGCAAGCTGATGACCAACTTGAGGAGCACTCATCCTCACTTTGTCCGTTGCCTGATTCCCAATGAATCAAAGACTCCAGGTATGAAGGCCACAGCATTACTATTTGCACAAAATGCTCTTCTGTGATACATTGGGAAAAAAAAAACTAAACTTCATTTGTAAATTTTCAACTCTCAGGTCTTATGGAAAATCATTTGGTCATCCACCAGCTGAGGTGTAACGGTGTGCTGGAGGGCATCAGAATCTGCAGAAAGGGCTTCCCCAGCAGAATCCTCTACGGTGACTTCAAGCAGAGGTGACCATGATTGTCAGTTTATGCATTACAGATTCCCCTGATTTTACTTTAAGCACTGTGATGGAGGACACCAGACAAAGAGTTACTGTATCTGATAAAGAATGTCATTTTATCCTGTAGATACAAAGTATTGAACGCCAGTGTCATCCCTGAGGGACAGTTCATTGACAACAAGAAAGCTTCAGAGAAGCTGTTGGGCTCCATTGATGTGGACCACACTCAGTACAAGTTTGGACACACAAAGGTACATGTCTAACAATAACAGTCTTAACTTTCATTATGAATTTATCCAGTTGTATCCATGTGGACAAATAACTAAGTCTGCTGACTTAACACCACAGGTGTTCTTCAAAGCTGGTCTGCTGGGTACCCTTGAGGAGATGAGAGATGAGAAACTGGCTTCATTGGTGACCATGACTCAGGCTCTCTGCAGAGGATATGTCATGAGGAAAGAGTATGTTAAGATGACGGAGAGGAGGTAGGATTATAAAAATACACAGTCATTAGTTCTGTTTTATACTGCTCGGCTGACGAAACACCCTACTGCAGTAAATGTGACATTTACTTATTCATGCATCATTCTTTCTTCCAGAGAATCTATCTACTCCATCCAGTACAACATCCGTTCATTCATGAATGTGAAGAACTGGCCTTGGATGTCTCTGTACTTCAAGATCAAGCCTCTTCTGAAGAGTGCTGAAACTGAGAAGGAGTTGCAGCAGATGAAGGAGAACTATGGGAAGATGCAATCAGATCTAAATGCTGCTTTGGCCAAGAAGAAGGAACTGGAGGAGAAGATGGTTTCCCTGCTGCAGGAGAAGAATGACCTGCAACTCCAAGTGGCTTCAGTAAGTAACACAGAAAATATATGTGATGTTCACTTAGCTGAAAAAATCACTACATATTAGTCTGATCTTTGTTAGTCAAATGTTTATGATGCTGTTGCATTTCTAGATTTATTATCACTATTGTTGTTGCAATTACACATAAACAATCTACTGACTATCATTTTGAGATATGTTTCAATAAAAACAATACCACACCTGTTGTTTCTGTAGGAAACTGAAAATCTCTCGGATGCTGAGGAAAGGTGTGAAGGTTTGATTAAGAGCAAGATCCAGCTCGAGGCCAAACTCAAAGAGACAACCGAGAGACTGGAGGATGAAGAGGAAATCAATGCTGAGCTGACTGCCAAGAAGAGGAAGTTGGAGGATGAATGCTCTGAGCTGAAGAAGGACATTGATGACTTGGAGCTCACCTTGGCTAAAGTGGAGAAGGAGAAACATGCCACAGAAAACAAGGTTCATTTCATTTTCACAGTGTTTTACATAGAAATATAGAAATAGAATGTTAGAGATTCAAGAGTTTTTTATTTGACACATGCTCATACAGTATGTGCAGTATCCTGTAAAGTGACTGTTCTCCAGGCTTACATTACTAAAGGACAAATCTTTAGAAAACAGAAAATTAGAAGAAGAACAAAGTCACAGTGTCATAAATAATGAGGCAGAGATCATAAACTAAAGTCCAGAGCAAATTTGCAAGAATTATACATTGTTATACTCTTTTGATTAGTTTTATGCTTAAGTGGGAATCTAAACTTTACATTTAATTTCAGGTGAAAAACCTGACAGAGGAAATGGCCTCTCAAGATGAAGCCATTGCCAAGTTGACCAAGGAGAAGAAAGCCCTCCAAGAGAGCCATCAGCAAACACTGGATGACCTCCAGGCAGAGGAAGACAAAGTCAACACTCTGACCAAGGCCAAGACAAAGCTGGAACAGCAAGTGGATGATGTAAGAAAACAACGGTTTTGACTTCTTGGTTTTACCTTGTATTAACATGAATGATCTTTGGTATTGACAGTGAAATGCCTCAAAATAACTATCACTGCCTGTCATGTGATAGCTTGAGGGCTCACTGGAGCAAGAGAAGAAGCTCCGCATGGACCTTGAGAGAGCCAAGAGGAAGCTCGAGGGAGATCTGAAACTGGCCCAGGAATCCATAATGGATCTGGAGAATGACAAGCAGCAATCTGA